TTCCCGCTCTCTTTTTCTTGACCACTTTCACTCTCATTCTCATGCCACTGCTGTGTACACAGATGGCTCTAAGTCTTCTGACGGTGTAGGATTCGCAGCAGTGTTTCCGGACAGCGTCGTACAAGGGCATTTACTATTTTCGGCTAATATTTTTACTGTTGAATTGTATGCCATCCTTACAGCACTTATCCGTATTGCATCTATGCCTGTGTCATCATTTGTGGTTGTCTCAGACTCCCTTAGTGCTTTACAGGCTATACAAAAATTTGATACACCTCACCCCTTAGTCCTCCGTATCCAACTTTGGCTATGCCGCATCTTTACCAAGCATAAAGATATTGTTTTTTGTTGGGTCCCTGGTCATGTTGACGTACAGGGCAATGAACAGGCAGACACTGCTGCGCGGTCAGCAGTACATGACCTACCAGTTTCATGTAGAGGTATTCCATTTACGGACTATTTTGCTGCAATACCTTCCCAACTTCACACCCGTTGGCAACAACGTTGGTCTACTATGCTCGGCAACAAACTTCAAACTATTAAACCGAGTATAGGTTACTGACCGTCTTCTTATCACCAGTGTCGAGGTTGGGAGACTACTCTCTCCCGTCTTCACATTGGCCATACTCGTCTTACTCATGGATATCTCATGGAGAGGCGCCCTGCTCCTCTCTGTGAGAATTGCCAAGTTCCATTATCACTCAGCCACATTCTGTTGGACTGCCCACTTTATCAACGAGCACGCAGAATTTGCCTCCGTCGTCGTCTTCGCTCCGCTGCTCTCTCTTTACCTTCCCTTCTCGCTGATGGACCCACCTTTCATCCAGACTCTCTCATTGACTTTTTTACAACAGACTGACTTCACAAATTCTGATACCTTCAGCCCTTTCTACTTCAATCTCTTGCTGCCCTCTACCCCCATACTATCCCCTGCCCCGCTGTTTTCTGTAACCTACTGATCATCCCTCCTCCCTTCTGCCACCCAATACCCTCGCTTCCTTTCCTACCCTGCAGCGCTGTATAGCCCTTGTGGCTTAGCGCTTCTTTTTGATTACAATAATAATAATTATTTTAGTATTATTATAATCAAAAAGAAGCGCTAAGCCACAAGGGCTATACTATTATTTTAGTAAAATGCTAATTATAATTTATTATTGTAACATGTATATATATGTATATATATATATATATATATTAAATACCTCTAGACCAAAGATTGATTTTTATATTATATTAAAGATTAATTGATTTTAATGTTGTATTTATGTATCCCGAACTCTTTATTACAAAATGAGTAAATCCACCATCTAAAAATAACTTTTTTTGTAATAGTGAATTAGTACCCATTCCTGATAAAACTGTCGAAACTGTTGCTAATGCTTTCCGTGAGCATGTCGTTCTCCATCATACCTGCCCACGTGTCCTTCTGTCAGACAATGGGTCTGAGTTCATAAACACCATAATGCAGGATCTTTGCACCATATTTAACATTCACCAAGCGCCAGTAGCTCCACGGCACCCTGTGAGTAATGGTCTTGCTGAACGTACAAATCCCAAAGTCCTGGAGGTGCTCAGGGTAACCGTTAACCCAGGTTGTACTACATGGGATGAGGCTATCCCAGATGTTCAGTGCACATTAAACTCCTCCCTCAACAGCTCGATCGGTGAGACACCTCATTTCGCTTTGTATGGCTATGACAAGCACTTACCGTACGAAATTCTGTTTGCTCCGCCTCGACCTACTTATGACACTGATAACCCCAGTGTAGTAAAGATGTGGACAACGCAGCTTGTTTTCCAGCGGGTACGAGAGAACCTTATGAAAGCTACGGATAGGTTCACGTCTGAGCGCAATGCCCTCTCCAAGGAAACCAAAGTGTAACCAGGTTGCAAAGTTATGTTGCTCAACCCAGCGCAGACCCCAGGTATGCACAAACTTGTCCCAAAATTCGTGGGTCTTTACCATGTCCTCCGACAGCTCCATGGCAATAAGTTCGAGGTGAGGGAGATTGCTACTGGAACAATCAAAGAAGCCCACCTTGATCACATGAAGTATGTGGACCATGTGCAGGCCGAAGCAAGCTGGAGTCGCGTGTGTTGCAACGCCACAATCAGACCAATGCTAGGGACAACCCGTCTACTTCTCCCACTACTACTGTTACTGATGACAGCCCAGTACGGCTCCATACTTATGGCCTGCAACCCAGGACAACAGTACATTTCTGTGACATTGACATGCCTACTGACTTGTCTGACTCCTACGCTAGTTATGCTAATTGTTTGCTTGCAGAAATGGGTATATATGTGCACACATTGTATAGCTAGTTGATAATGGAGACAGGGTGGACATCATGTAAATATGTAAATACTTTTAGAAGGGTACCCAGAGTATAATGAATTCCATGGATATAGTATTATTGTAGGTATGTGCACCCAGTGTCGCTTTTAAAGCCTGTATTATGGTCCAGGCAGTGCTGCCCTCCGAGTCACATGTCACACCATAGGAAATGCTATTGTCAGTCATTGTTTGCAGATGTGAGGGTGCAACAGCGTTTGTAGACGAGTAGTCAAGCCTGTCGTTCAGCCCTGCAGACAACCTGTACATAGAAGATTTTAGTTCCAGTGCTGATGTCTCCGGACTCTTCTCCTCAATGAAGCAACACGGGCAAGCCAGTTTTCTCTTCCCCAGGATGGGAGAGTTTTTTTTTTTTTTTTGGCCTGTTGCATTTTGTCCATTTTTTATTTACAAGTGAGCAAAAGCCAGTCCCTCCCTGGGGTAGCTAGTGTAAGTAATTCTTTTGCACCTACGGGCCCACCAGTATTGTCGCGTCGGGACAACGTGAGGTGCATGTCCAAGCAAATGTAGACAGCCTGGACTGTCAGCACAGACAGCCTATGCTGTCTGCCAGCTTAGTTCATATTTTGAGGCATTTAAGTGCTGCCCTCTCTAGGCTTACCCAGGTCAGTGGGATGCTGGGCCCATTCGCTCTCACTTCCCGGCCAACCGACTTGTGAGGTACAAGCACTCCCCTCCAAGGACTGGCTATCGGTCATTGCCCTTTGTGTAATCACTCCTATCCAATTAAAGACAAACTAGTCCACAGCCGTATCATTGCTACCTATGCTACCTCCATCGGCACTAAACCGCTGTTCAACAGCAAGAACAGTAATAACATAACCCACAGGACCACAAAATTCTACAAGAATCAGGCACCCAGAAGACCTAGGTGTTTTACCCTGATCTGAGGACATGCGGTGGTGTGGATACCTCTGAGCTAATTTCATTGTACTTCCCCTTTGGTGTACTAGCCTCCTAAAGCAGTATGTATATATATATATATATATATATATATTAATATATATATATATATATATATTGTGACCATGAACGATTGGTATTTAATCAATAACAACACTGCGACTAGCCATGGACTCAAACCCATGTTGTAGGATTTGGTGGTCCTGTGGGTTATAGACTCATGTGGTTTTTGCTCACCATGAGGTGGGCCAAAACAAGATGGGTCTGTATAGCAATGTTGTTTGTAGGATTGATGGTTTAGATGGTAGGGTGACATTGCGTTGTGGGGTCTCTTGAGGCAGGACAATGTGTCATGGGGTCGAATCTTGGCCTGCCACAATTTTATAATTATTTATATATATATATATATATATATGTCGTTTTGGCCCGCCCCATGGTTAGCGAAAATCACACATGATGCTGTAACCCACAAGACAACGCAATCCTACAAGAATCACAAACCCAGCAGAGTTAGGTGTTTTACCGTGATCCGAGGACATATGGCAGTGTGGATGCCTCTGAGCTAATTTCTTTCTATTCCCCGTTTGGTGTACTAGCCTCCACGAGCAGTATTTTATGTTACTGTAACCACGAACGAGTAGTATTGAATCAATAACACTGCGATTAGCCGAGAATTCGAACCCATGTTGTTTTGACCGGCCCCATGGTGAGCGAAAATCACATTTGACGCTCTAACCTAGAGGACCACGCAATCCTACAAGAATCACGCTCCCCAGCAGATCTAGGTGTTTTACCCTCATCCAAGGACATACGGTGGTGTGGGTGCCTTTGAGTTAATTTCATTCTACTCCCCGTTTGGTGTACTAGCCTCCACGAGCAGTATTTTATATTATTGTAACCAAGAACGAGTGATATTGAATCAATAACAACACCGCGACTAGCCGAGGATTCGAACTTACGTCGTTTAGGCCCGTCCCATGGTGAGCAAAAATTACACGTGACGCTCTAACCCACAGGACCACGCAATCCTATAACAATCACGCACCCAGCAGAGCTAGGTGTTTCACTGTGATCCAAGGACATACGGTGGTCTGGGTGCCTCTGAGCTAATTGCATTCTAGTCCCCGTTTGGTGTACTAGCCTCCACGAGCAGAATTTTATATTAGTGTAACCACGAACGAGTGGTGTTGAGCTATGTATGACTGTGGCGTGTGTGTGTGTGTGTACTCACCTAATTGTGGTTGAAGGGGTCGAGACTCAGCTCCTGGCCCCGCCTCTTCACTGATCGCTACTAGGTCCTCTCCCTCTCTGCTTCCTGAGCTTTGCCATACCTCTTCTTAAAACTATGTATGGTTCCTGCCTCCACTACTTCACTTGCTAGGCTATTCCACTTCCTGACGACTCTATGACTGAAGAAATACTTCCTAACGTCCCTGTGACTCGTCTGAGTCTTCAGCTTCCAGTTGTGACCCCTTGTCCCTGTGTCCCCTCTCTGGAACATCCTATCTCTGTCCACCTTGTCTATTCCCCGCAGTATCTTGTATGTCGTTATCATGTCTCCCCTGACCCTTCTGTGTATGTGTGTTTGTTTGTGTAATTTTAAGTTGTAAAACATATATATGACTATTAAATATTAGTTATTCATGTGAGAAAATATTATTTAAAAACTTTGTAATAAAGAATAACTAAATGCTGCTACAACACGACAGTTTTGATCAAAAGCTCAGGAAAAAAGCTCAGGAAAAAAGCTAATACATCAATACTGATCACCTTGAGACGAGAAAATGTGCTTGCTGGGCATCTTGACCTTGATTGTCTCGAGTAGGACCTCCTCTTCAACGGCTGTCCTGGGGCAGGTGTCAGATGCTGCCTGCACACTCACAGGTGTTGCTGGCACACCTGCCTTGCTTCTGGTTGCTCGACAACGGTAAAGACGAAGGTTGACGACGACGCCCAACACAACTGCAGGAAGGAACCATCATGTTTGTAGCAGCAGCATTAGACTTGTGGATTGTACGTTAGTTTTAACAATTTACTTGAGAGTAGGAGTGTCAGTTGATGAGATGTAGCGTGTGTTAGTGAGATGACATGAAGAATGTGTTAACGTGAGCTGTTGATATGTAGGTTATGTTAATGTTAGCAGAAGATAGGGAGTGAGTGTTAGTGTAATCAGCAGACATGAAGTGTGCATTAGTTTAAGCATTAGACATATAAAATGTGATAGTATCAGCAGAAGACATGTAGAGTGTATTAGTGTTGGTAGTAAACATGTAGAGTGTATTAGTGTTGGTAGTAAACATGTAGAGTGTATTAGTGTTGGTAGTAAACATGTAGAGTGTATTAGTGTTGGTAGTAAACATGTAGAGTGTATTAGTGTTGGTAGTAAACATGTAGAGTGTATTAGTGTTGGTAGTAAACATGTAGAGTGTATTAGTGTTGGTAGTAAACATGTAGAGTGTATTAGTGTTGGTAGTAAACATGTAGAGTGTATTAGTGTTGGTAGTAAACATGTAGAGTGTATTAGTGTTGGTAGTAAACATGTAGAGTGTATTAGTGTTGGTAGTAAACATGTAGAGTGTATAGTGTTGGTAGTAACATGTAGAGTGTATTAGTGTTGGTAGTAAACATGTAGAGTGTATTAGTGTTGGTAGTAAACATGTAGAGTGTATTAGTGTTGGTAGTAAACATGTAGAGTGTGACTGTGTCAGCAGTGTATTTATAAAACATGTTTATGTTAGTCTTAAATATAGAGTAGACATGTAAATGTGTTAATGTCAGCAGTAGACATGTAAAGTGTGTTAATGTCAGCAGTAGACATGTAAAGTGTGTTAATGTCAGCAGTAGACATGTAAAGTGTGTTAATGTCAGCAGTAGACATGTAAAGTGTGTTAATGTCAGCAGTAGACATGTAAAGTGTGTTAATGTCAGCAGTAGACATGTAAAGTGTGTTAATGTCAGCAGTAGACATGTAAAGTGTGTTAATGTCAGCAGTAGACATGTAAAGTGTGTTAATGTCAGCAGTAGACATGTAAAGTGTGTTAATGTCAGCAGTAGACATGTAAAGTGTATTAATGTCAGCAGTAGACATGTAAAGTGTATTAATGTCAGCAGTAGACATGTAAAGTGTGTTAATGTCAGCAGTAGACATGTAAAGTGTGTTAATGTCAGCAGTAGACATGTAAAGTGTGTTAATGTCAGCAGTAGACATGTAAAGTGTGTTAATGTCAGCAGTAGACATGTAAAGTGTGTTAATGTCAGCAGTAGACATGTAAAGTGTATTAATGTCAGCAGTAGACATGTAAAGTGTGTTAATGTCAGCAGTAGACATGTAAAGTGTGTTAATGTCAGCAGTAGACATGTAAAGTGTATTAATGTCAGCAGTAGACATGTAAAGTGTGTTAATGTCAGCAGTAGACATGTAAAGTGTGTTAATGTCAGCAGTAGACATGTAAAGTGTGTTAATGTCAGCAGTAGACATGTAAAGTGTGTTAATGTCAGCAGTAGACATGTAAAGTGTATTAATGTCAGCAGTAGACATGTAAAGTGTGTTAATGTCAGCAGTAGACATGTAAAGTGTGTTAATGTCAGCAGTAGACTTGTAAAGTGTGTTAATGTCAGCACTAGACATGTAAAGTGTGTTAATGTCAGCAGTAGACATGTAAAGTGTGTTAGTGTAACAGTAGAAATGTAGAGTGCGCTAGTATCAACAGCAGACTTGTAGTGTGTGTTCATGTCGTCACAAGTCTCTGAGAGCTATAAAGCGTTCAACACTATGTAATTCTGGGGCAATACTAGAAAAACATATTGTTTTTTATAGAAGAGATGTTAATGAAACAGGGGATCGAACCGAGGTGTAAGCATTTACAACACGCTATTTCATATGGAAATGAACATTTATAAAGACTAGACAAGCAAATAGATGTTTCACTGAAGACATTGAAAAAAATGGCTATGAAAATAATGAAATATGACATGATTTATTAACTTGACTCAAGAAATCGTAATGACACGATTGCAAACAAACCATACCACGGGTGGGGATAGAACCCGGTATCAGAGTGTCTCAAAACTGCCTATGCTAACCTTCCTATAGTGTAGAAATATACCTAGTTGGACGAATCTTGTGGCTAACGCGGCGGTCTGGAGTTTTGAGACTCTGATCGCGGGTTCTATCCCCGCCCGTGGTATGGCATGATTTATTAATTCCATGGAAGTATTTAGAATTATTGTTAAGAGAGGAATTAACTGTAGGGGAAGACTGTAGAGATGTCCAGATCTACAGGGGTGTACACGACCATGCATGGTGTACATTATCATACATGGTGTACACGACCATAGAGGAGTAGATAACAAGGGGTGCTCAGTACCACAGACGGGTAGAAGATTACAAGGGGTGCTCAATACAACAGGCGAGTAGAAGCTCAATGGAGGTGTTCAAGACAACATATGGGTCACACAGTGCTGTGGGCAAAGGTGTGTAAGAGTAGGAGTGTGCAAAGGGTTGAGGGATGCAAAGAGAAGGGGGACCCAAAGGGTAGGAATATGCAAGGGGTAGGGGTTAGTTTAAATGGAGGCTAGTGGGAGTGTAAAACTGAAATTAAAGTTGGGGGCAATATGTCAGCTTTCGTTAAAAATGTCAAGGTTGAACTTTCGAAGAGGAGGACAGTTAATGTGATTGTGTTAAGAGTATTGTGGAAGTTTGAAGTCAATCCTTCCTGCCCACTGATACTCTGGACAATCTTTTAAGGTATGGTGATCTGACATTGCGACTTGGCAGTCCCCACAGAGAAGTGCCAGTCATTTCTCAATGTAGTAACTGTGTGTGAGTCACGTGTGTCTCATTCACAAGCATAGCAAAGCGGTTTTTCAGACCCGACAGCAGTGGAAAGATGATGTCCAGATTCCAGATGATCTGTCGGAACTTTCTTAGAAGGGAGGAAAATTACACAAATAACCCGCACATAGAAGAGAGGAGCTTACTACGACGTTTCGGTCTGACTTGGACCATTTACAAAGTCACACTAACGAGAAGTAGAGAGGGACGGGTATATATAGGCAGGAAGAGGTAGTGGTGGTAGTAGTAGTAGTAGTAGTTAGTAGTAGTAGTAGTATAGTAGTAGTAATAGTAGTAGTATAGTAGTAGTAGTAGTAGTAGTAGTAGTAGTAGTAGTAGTGGCGGAGGTGGAAGGAAGTAGTGGTGGGGAAGTAAGGAGGAGGAGCCAGTCAAATACAAAGAAAGAGGAGCACTGCAAGGAGTTAGGTGCCCACAGAGGGAGAGCAAGAACACAGAGGTGGGGGGAAGGGGAAATAATGAAATTAAATAAAGAAGGAACAGAAACACAAGACAGAAGAAAGACAACCCAGAAGAGAAAAAAGGAAAGAGGAAAGGGGAAGAAAAAAAAAAGAGGAATCAGGTTAGGTCACGAGTGTTCTGAAGTTTGGAGCATTTTACAATGTAGTGGGAGAGGAAGGCATCTACAGAGACGAAGCCAGGACTAAGATTCATACAAGGAAAGTTGTGTATTAGGTAGAATTCAACCAGACGGCAACTGTTAAAGTTGGAAGTAGGGAAGACAGTTTTAGCAGAAGACCAGTCTATAGGATGGCTGTGATCTCTGACATGACAGAAAAGAGCATTGTTAGTGTCGGCAAGCCTAACACTAATTTTGTGCTCCCTAAGTCTGTCAGAAAGAGACTGGCCAGTTTCTCCAAAATATTGAAGAGGACAGGAGGAGCAAGAAATAGAGTAGACACCAGGAACATCTGTAGAGGGAGGAGAGGTATAAACGAGATTAGTGCGAAGTGTGTTAGTCTGGCGGAAAGTAAGCTTAATGTCTAAGGGACGGAGAGAATTGTTGAGATTAGAAAGACCGGAAATGTAGGGAAGGCAGAGGACAGAAGAGTTCCCAGGAGTAGAGAGTTTGGGAGAGAAGAAATTACGTTTAGCACGTGAGAGGGCAAAGTCTATCAAATGGGAAGGGTAGCCAAGACGGGAAAACGAATTATGAAGAGTGGAAATTTCTGCTGGAAGGGACTGAGGATCATAGATGCAGAGAGCACGGAGAAAGAGGGAGATAAGAACACTTTTCTTGACAGGGGAAGCATGATAGGAAAAGTAGTGAATGTACATGCCACTGTGCATAGGTTTGTGGTAAACATAAAATTAAAAACCTGTATCTGAGCGGTGGACATGGACATCAAGGAAAGGAAGCAAGGAAATAGATTCCCATTCAGCTTTAAACTTAATGGAAGGGGCAAAATTATTAAGAGCTTCAAGAAAAGGTTGGAAGAGACTGGAGTCATGAGGCCAAAGAGCAAAGATGTCATCTACATAGCGGAGCCAGAGTGAAGGGCGCACATCGATGGTAGGAAGAAGAACAATCTCGAAGTATTCCATGTAAAGATTAGCAAGGACAGGAGAGAAAGGAGAGCCCACAGCGACACCGAAGGTTTGAGAATAATATTTCCCTAGGAAGGAAAAGGAATTAGAGTCCACACAGAGGCAGATCAGATCAAGAAAGACATCAATAGGTATAGGGAAATGAAGAAACCCTTCATGGGCCTTCTCTCTAAGAAAATCAAGGACATCATCAAGAGGGACATTGGTGAAGAGGGACTCAACGTCAAGACTAAGCATCTTACAGGTCGGGAGAGAGCGAACCCGTTCAATGAAGTCTTGAGAGTGACGGAGGTGGGCAGGAGAAAAAGTACCAAGAAAGGGAGTGAGGGTTTTGGCCAGCCAAGAAGCAAGAGAATAAGAGACAGAACCTCTAGAGTTCTATATTATAAGATGTAGAGGAATATCAGGTTTATGAGTTTTGGGCAGGCCATAGAAATAGGGAAGAGAGGGACAGATGACACGAAACCGTTGAACAAGGTCAAAGTCAGGAGGACAGAGGTCGGAGAGAGTCCTTAGTTTCTTGTTGAAAGTTCTCTTGATGCGATCAAGAGGGTTGGAAACGAGAGGAGTGTAGGTACGTGAGTCAGAGAGCAAGACATCAGCTTTACGGAGGTAACGGCGCAGAAGGTGGTGATTCTTAGAAAACAGACTATCAAGAACAGGAAGGAGAACGCCACGAAAAGTGGACAAGTCAGGAAGATTACGGGAGCGAGACTGATGAAAATAATCAAAAGAGCTAATCAGGGCAATACCAGCGCGAGGGGTAGGCGAAGTGGCAAAGGAAAGGCCAAAACCAAGAAGTTCAAGCTCATACTGAGAGAGTGAGACAGAATACAAGTTAGTAACACAGTTAGTGAGGGAGAATTTAGACCATGGGCTAGCTAAGATGAGACGTTGAAGTTTATTCTGTAGTTTAGAAGAATGAATTTGTGTATTCAGGTGAGCAGTGTCAAAGGCAATGGTAGAGAGAAGGTTACAGAGATCTTGTGGTAAAGAGAGCACGTTGACGCTGACGGAAAGTAAAGAAGGCATCTTCAACCTGAGACTTAGTAGAAAGAATGAGCTGTTGAAGTAGGAGTCGGGCATGATCAGGAAAGGGAGTGCCCAGTGGGTTGGGTTTCAGGAAATGGGAGAAGGAAGGGGGCAGAACTTGTTCAGCAAGACAGTCACGTAGAAAGCGAAGCTGATTCTTACGACGCCTGGTAGCAATAAGAGCAGCCTCATAAGATCGAAAGAGGGGTTTAAAAGAAGGAAGAACATTAAAAAAAGTTGGAAAGAATATGACGCTTAACTGCGGGGTCCATAAATAACAAAAAAATGCACAATACCGTGTCTGGAACGATACACAGATAACCCGCACATAGAAGAGAGGAGCTTACGACGACGTTTCGGTCCGACTTGGACCATTTACAAAGTCACACTAACGAGAAGTAGAGCAGGACGGGTATATATAGGCAGGAAGAGGTAATGGTAGTAGTAGTAGTAGTAGTAATGGTAGTAGTAGTAGTGGTAGTAGTAGTGACGTAGATGGAAGGAAGTAGAAATGGGGAAATAAGGACGAGGAGTCAGTCAAATACAAATGGTCCAAGTGGGACCGAAACGTCGTCCTAAGCTCCTTTCTTCTATGTGCGGGTTATTTGTGTATCGTTCCAGACACGGTATTGTGACTTTTTTTGTTATTTAAGGGATGAAAAAGTAATATGCAGGGTGAACTTCAAGGGGAGGTAAATTAAGACATATTCTTTGACCGCAAATATGGGGATGGAAATTATTAAGTGGAAGGATCGTGAAGATCATGAAACCGAACAAAATAACAAAGACAGTGAGTATCGCCTCGATCTTTCGAAGACGAGGAGTTCGCGTCTGTAAACAAGCTTTTGACCAGGGAAATTCAAGACCACAGGGTTACTGAAGACCACAGGGGTCATTCATGACTACAGACGTGTAGCAGACTAGAGGACGTGTTCAAAACCACAGAGGAATAGTAGATCAAATGAGTGTTCATAACACAGACAAAGAAGACCACAGAGCTTGTTCAAGATTACAGAGGTGTTAAAGATCACTGGTGTGATCAAGAGCAAACAGAACAATACCACAGGGAATGTGCAGGATCATAGAGGTGAAGAAGACCACAAGGGGTGATCAAGACCACAGGAGTGTACAAGACCGCAGAGGTATACAAGGAAAGACGTGTCCAATATTAGTGAGGATTACAAGATCACAAGGGGTGCCCAAGATCTCAGAGGTAAAGATCACTAGGAGGGGGTTAAAACCACAAGAGTATACTAGCCTACAAGGAAACAAAGACTGCACAAGCTCACAGATGCTTTCAAGATCATAGGCGTGTGTAAGATTTACTGAAACTACAACTAAGAGGTTAACAGAAACTACATAGGTGTACAAGAGTTGTACAAGATCACAAGAATGATTAAGACGATAGAGGTGCACAATACTAAATATAGGATAAGAAAAAAAGAGGCGTACAAGACCAAAAGAATGTACAAGACTAAACAGCTGTTCAAGATCGCAGGGGTGTATAAGATCACATGAATTAACAAGACCACAGAGGTTTCCAACACCACAGGAGTACAAGAACATACAAGAGTAACACGACTACAGGGAATATTCAAGATACTAGAGTTGTATGAGATCACAAGAGGCGTTCAAGATTACATGGATGTTCTGAAATGTACAAGACCACAGTGAGTGCACATCACAACAGGGATTTAAAAGACAAAGATTTAGAAGACCACGGAGTGTACAAGATCTCAGAACTACGCGGATGCCAGGCAAAAGTGTATCCAGAGAAACACGAGCTACTAACGACCAGCAGAAACAGTGTGAGATGACTCACCTACTAGAGGCGAGTCGTGAATTGATTCACTCACAAGCTGGAGCTGAGTAATGTGATTCACCTACACCAGGCAGGAGATGAGTAATGTGATTCACCTACACCAGAAAGGAGCTGAGTAATGTGACTCACCTACACCAGACAGGAGCTGAGTAATGTGACTCACCTACACCAGACAGGAGCTGAGTAATGTGACTCACCTACACCAGACAGGAGCTGAGTAACGTGACTCACCTACACCAGACAGGAACTGAGTAACGTGACTCACCTACACCAGGCAGGAGCTTAGTAATGTGACTCGCCTACAGCAATTAATAATATAGTCACCTGCAACCAGTAGGAACCAGAGATGTGACCCGTTGAGTAACTGAGAGTTTTAACCTACCTACAACTGGCAGAAAGCTAGGGCTGACTCACCTACAAGCAGAAGGAAGAGTGTGAGGGCCACTATGAGCAGCGGGGAGGCCAGGGGCTGTGGCTCCGGGGTGAGGCTAGTCCACTCACAGTTGTGGCCCACGTGTGCTGGTCCACAAACACAGTGGTAGCCGGGGGCGAGGTTGATGCAGGAGCCTCCGTGTAGACACGGCTGGTACACGCACTCATCTACGTCATGACAACCAGCCCCCACCAGCTCCTCTCCGGGGCCACAGCTGATCAAGGAGAGCGCAAGTTTAGTATACCAATTCTGCAGTTTGTTAGTTTGTTGGTTTGTTGGGTTTAAAATCTATCTTTTGTTCATGGGTCATTAAAGGTGCAATTTACCGGTTCACTTATAAAACTAGATGTATTTGGGTCGCAGTGCGATCCGAGAAAGGTATTCCCATACTGCATAGCCCCAGCCTCCTGAAATAGTGCAGGATAAGTTATCATATAGTTAAATATTAGTGCTCAAGATGTGAGGCAAATCAGTAAAGGTAAGCCCAAGTTATCACAAAGATACTAATATCCCCACACTGGGGCATACATAGCTCTAAGTAATTCAAAACATCCACTTTGAAACACAAGTTTTGAACCCAAACTAAAGAGACATTATCTTGTTACCTTTAAAACACGAATATTTTAAAATACACCAGTACAATAAGACTGAAGTCACTCAGAAGAGGGATTATTAAGTTGTCAGGGTCAAAGTCAGTTGGATGATGCGATTAGTAATTATCACGTGAAAATCAATATTTAAATTTTACAGGTATTTTCCAAATAAAAAAAGGCAAATTGAGACCCTCAAAAGCTAAATTAATCTAAATTTTTATCTAAGTAAGAGAGCTGCACCAGAACACACAGCAGGTACTGACAGACAGGGGAGCGCAACCTCGGGGGGAACAACAAACACAACTGCCCACAGAACGACCCACAGCATCCCCTTAACCCCTACCAACCCACACCAACCAAACACAATAATTAGAAACAAGCCACACTCCACACCCACAGTCCAATTCCATCCCTCTAAGCACTAATAGTATGGTATTACTACCACAACACCAGCCCACCATAACATCCAGCCCTGTCTACCGCACAACCTGCAACAACCCATCCTACCCCTCTGAATACAGTTTAGGAAAGGAAGCTGAAGGTATGGTATACCAAAACAAATAGAATAACAAATAAGAATGACGAGTGGCAGGAAGGAATCACTGAGGCATCCCCAAACATCATAGCACTCAGAGAGACAAAGCTAGCTTATGGGGTAATAACAGATGAGATTTTCCCATCTGGATATCAGATCCTGAGGAATGACAGGGTGAACAAAGGGGAAGGAGGAGTTGCACTGCTCATCAAAAACCAATTGAGTTTTGAAGAGATGGAAGGGCTAGTCAAAGGTGACACAGATGACTACACAGTAGGAACACTTCTAACTGGGGGTCCAAAAGTGAAGACAGCAGTGAGTTACAACCCGATACAGAACAGCAGATCAGGACAAGAATACGATGATAACAACAGATCGATGATGGTCACACTAGCCGAGGTGGTCAGAAGGGCCCACACAAGCTGAGCAAAGCTACTTATCATGAGGGATTTCAACCACAGGAAGATACACTGGGAAAATCTAGGGCCACATGGGGTATATGAGACATGGGGGGAGCCAAGATGCTGGAAGTGTTGTTGGAAAGCTACATATACCGATCTGTTAGGGACACAACCAGAGAAAGTGGACATGATGAACCAGCAAGGCCGGACCTTGTATTCACCTTCAACAGTTCAGACAGAGGAAACCACATGAAATGCCCCTCGGTGCTAGTGGTCACGTGGTCCTGAGTTTCAAATACATGGTAGAGTTAATACAGAGTGAGGCAGCATGAGAAGGATGGGAGAAACTATACTTCAGAAAAGGGTGGGAACTACACATGTGTGAGGCAATTCCTTCATGAGGTGCAGTGAGTAAGAAAGCTAGATGTGACACATGACTGCAAAGTGCAGGGAGGCAGTGGAGAAGTTCGTGCTAAAGGGCAACAGAAACAATGGGAAGACCATTGGGAGCCCATGATTTACCAGGAGGAGTGGAGAGGCCAAAGCCAAGTGCGTCACAAATGTAAAAAGTATAGGAAGCAAAGGACTCAGGAAAACAGGGAGTTGAGCCAAAGAGCCAGAAGTGAATATGCATGGATAAGGAGAGCAAGGTCCAGAGACAATACAAGAATGACATAGCATCAAAAGCCAAATCTGACCCAAAGTCGTTATACAAACACATCAGCAGGAAAACAACAGTCAAGGCCCAGGTAATCAAACTGACGAAGGATGGGAGCTCACGGAGAATGACCAGGAAGTGAGGAACTTAGCTCAAGATTCAGGGAGGTATTCACACTAGAGACAGAGAGGCTTCCAGCAAACCAAGGGAGTAGGGTGCACCAGCAAGTGTCTGACGTCCACACTGCACATAACCGAGGAGAAAGTGAAGAAACTACTAGGTGAACTAGTTACTTCGAAGGTGGTGGGCCCAGATAACATCTCTCCTTGGATCCTGAATGTGGGAGCAGATGCACTATGTGTACCACTTACAAAAATAGTCAATAAATGTATTGAAACAGGGCAAATACCTAAGGTGCGGAAGACAGCAAACACAGTCCCAATTTTTAAGAAAGGAGACAGACAGTTAGCATTAAACTACAGACCAATGTCACTGACATGTATGGTATGTAAAGTTAAGGAGAAGATTATTAGAAGAAGAGAGGTGGAACACCTACAAAGGAATAGGCGGCTCATACATGACAACCAGCATGGCTTCAAGGAAGAGAAATCCTGCATCACAAACTTACTGGAGTTCTATAACAAGGTAACAGAAGTAAGACAGGAGAGAGGGATGGGTAGACTACATCTTCTTGGACTGTAAGAAGGCTTTTGATACAGTACCACACAAGAGACAGGTTGAAAAACTAGAAAAGGCAGGAATAGCAGGGACAGTACTACAATGGATCAGGGAATACCTAACAGGAAGGATACAACGTGTGTTGTATGTAATGAGGTGTCAGAGTGGGTGCATGTGTCGAGTGGGGTTCCACAAGGGTCAGTTCTGAGTCTGGAGCTGTTTCTAATATATGTGAATAACAGAATGACAGAATAAAGGGATAGAATCATAGGCATTCCTGTTTTTAGACGATGCAAAGCTAATAAGAATAATACAAGTGGACGAGGATCAGGCAGGCCTGCAAGGAGATCCGTACAGGCTGTAAGTCTGGTCTGACAAATGGCTCCTGGAGTTTAATCCCAGCAAGTACAAAATCATAAAGTTAGGGAAAAAAAAAGACTGCAGACGGAGCACAGACTAGGAGGTCAAAGGCTGCAAAACTCACTCAAGGAAAAAGGTCTTGGGGTGAGCATCATACCGAGTACATCTCCTAAGTCGCACATCAACCAAATAACTGCTGCAGCATATGGGCGCTTCGACATTTAAGTAAGGAGTCATTCAAGATACTGTAGACTGTGTACGTCAGGCCCATATTTGAGTATGGAGAACCAAAATGGAACCCACACCTGGTCAAACACGTCAAGAAAGTAGAGAAAGTGCAAAGGTTTACAACGAGGAGAGGTTAAAATCAACCAGACGACAATGGAGGACAGAAAGGACGGGGGGCACCTCCTCCCATGGGAGACTTAAGTCTCGAGACACTCCCCAGATAGAGAGCCAAGGCCGGGTCACCACTACTTGGAAAAGACCCGGGCCGGGAGAATACCGGCGAATAAAAAAAAAAAAAAAAAAAGGACGGAGGGGGCATGATAACGACATATTAAATACTGAAACTAACTGTCAGGGTGGATAGGGACAGATTGTTTCAGAGATAGGACACAACAACTGGAAGCTGAAAACTCAGATGAGTCACAGGGATGTCAGGAAGTACTTCTTCAGCCATACATTTATCAAGTGTGACAATCTGGAGTGATGTAGGAGAGGCAGGATACAGAGATAGCTTCAAGAAGAGGTTCAATAAAGCTCATAGAAAAGGAAGAGAGAGTTGACCTAGTAGTGACCAGCAAGTCATAGCCAGGTGCTATGACTCGAACCCTGGAACCACAATTAGAAGAGTACAGTATAAGAAATGGTGTTTCTGTCAGTGACAGGGACAGTTGTGCTCCGTCAAAAACTGCGTGTCTTGATAGTAGCAGAGGGAACAGAATGCGGGAAATAAGCGTGTGCAACCATAAAGTGCATATACTCCTTTGAACAAACAAAAAAGGAATATCAGTGAACACTAAATAAGAAAATATGGATTATAGTGTCACATGGAGAGTGCCGGTGAAGGAACGGTTACCGTGGGAAATAGACCTGACCAGCACTAGTGAATTATTGCCGGATGTCGACACAAGTGGAAATAAACAAATATTGATCTATCTATAAGTAATATGTGAGTGACAAGGATATATATGTGCAGTGACATAGTGAACTAAATTGTAGATTAGAGTAATCTTAATTATCCCCCAGTATTGTGTACAATATATATAGAGTAGATAGGGGAATATCTTACAAGCGACTGGCACTAGCGAACTATTGCCAGAGGTCCAGTGAAGTGTTAATAACGGATGAGTAATTACTATAGTCATAAGAGATAAAACGAGTGGTGGTAGCATTGAGGTGCAGGGAATCACAGCATACATAAACTGAGCATACAACCGTTACCTCTACTAAACAGGAAATAAACTTTTCCATAGAACATAAGAACATAAGAACATAAGAATGTAGGAACACTGCAGAAGGCCTACTGACCCATACGAGGCAGGTCCTTATCAAAACGATCTCTACCTAAAGCTACTCAAGAAACAACTCCCGCACCCCCCAACACCAATCAAGTTAGCATAGGCTAAGCTGTGTAAATAATAAAACAATGATCCCAGTATAGCACAGTGAAAAGTGTATTTTGAAAGAATACAGTGTATATCCTTGAGATAAACAGTGTACAGCACTACATAAAAGGAATTTAAATAATAATAATAATAATAATAATTATAATAAAATAATAGTGAAGTGTGGCAGTGTGGGTAAGTCCTGCCCGGCTCACACCCACCCTACACCACCACCCACATACTGCAAACTTGGTTCGTAGAAATACATCTTGCATATTACTGGCACCAGCAAGAGAAAGGTAAAGTGGAAATCAGTTTTCTTCTGTGGCATACAGAATGTAGTAGGATACAGACACGATGTCAGCACAGCATATCTGTG